TTCAATAAAGTTCTGTGTGAAAACTGGCAGAAGAGACCCTCTTTCAGTTTAAAATCCAGGTGCAGGTACATTGTGCACACTGAGAAACATACCCTCATCGGAAAATTCCATTCCTGGAGCTTAAGAAGGAAGAGGCAACTGTGGGCTGTGGTACTGAGGAATGCTTCTGAGAAGAGGGACCCGCTAAAATTGGTCCCCAAGGGGTAGGGTAAGACAAACCATTAGGTCATTTTTGGAAGTGAGCAGTGGTGGTATGAGGAAAAGTGTGTAACTGCAAAATCTGTTCCAGTAGCGAGGATGTACCCTGTCTGCCTGAAATAGCGGAGACAAGTTTACTGAGGGATGCAGTTGGAATGAGGCCGGTTTGGAGAGCTAAGTCGGCCAAATCTGCACATTTTACAACTCGAAAGTGCAGGTGTTGCTTCACTGCCACCTAAAGACTGAAAGAGTAGGATAGCCCACCAACTAAATGGAAGCTGGAGTAAGATTTTCTTTGTGGTCCCAGTCCAAGGAAAGTATTCAGGAAATGCCCTTCGGCTGTTTAAAGTGAACTGTTCATTGGCATGAAATAACACTGGTGCTTTTATGTCTGGTGAAATAGAGAAGAATGTGAGTGACATCTATGGAAAATTAGATCCCATTTTAAAACCGTGTGTGACTGAACACGATTTCTATGCAATTTCAGTTTAATATTCTAAGAAACTTCATGTATTGCATAGCCTAGAATGAAACCACTTGTGTGGGATATAAAACTGAAGGCAACAGACAAAGAAACAAAAACTCATAGTTACAGACAACAGTTAAGTGGTTACCAGAGGGTAAGTGGGGGGGGTGTTATAAGAGGGTAAAGGTGGTCAAACACATGGTAATGGAAGGAGAACTGACTCTGCGTGATGAACACACAATGTGATATATAGATGATGTAGTATAGAAATGTACACTTGAAACACCTATGTAATTTTACTAACCAATGGCACCCCAATAAATTTAATTAAAAAAACACTAAAAAATCTACCTTGCTGAAAGCAATTGTCAGAGACAGACATTACGGAGATAGAAAAATTCATAAGACAGGGCTGTTTCTTTTAATGTGCTTACAGCTAGTACCTCAAGTTAG